TACCAAACATTGATGTTGGTCATAATAAGTTCAAAATTGGTTCGCAAAAGATTAAACTACTCACGGGCAGTTATGAAATTGATGATATTGATTGATATTTACAAAAGAAACTGAAGCCACTAGGAATAGAAATCAAACATCAAGACTAAAAATAATACTTTACGTAGCAAAATTACATGCAATAAAGTAATTGATTTTCAATCATTTTAACTCAATTGGACATTAACTCAGCTTCACACAACGATTGTTGAAAGTCAATATAAACCATATATCCGACATGCCTGTAGCCATTCTCAAAGTGAATGCTTTACGTGTTGAGTGTAACATAACATCGGGAGCTTATATCAATCACAATAAAAAACACGGCATTTATGAGTTCTTTCCAGCCGTATCATCTGGTTACAAGATCATTGAAATTCCTAAACATATCATTTATTTGCATTTAACTGTCAATGTAATTAATTGTTAAATTAACGTTTAGTCGATCAAAACGGTGATTTAATTAGTTTTCGAGGTGAAGTCATATCAATTTGTTTACATATAAAAAGAGTTTCATAATAGGAATAGTTTATAACTCTAAAGTAGGTAGTGACTATATAAGTGTTCCATTATATGCTCAGAAAACCAGTCCACGACAGATAGTCAAAAGTCTGACACGTCGCAAAATTCAATTTCTGAAGAGTTTCAATCTCAATATTGTCGCGAGGATCGCTCAAGGAAAAAGAAGAAAAAACATCAAAGTCTTGAAAAATTAAAGTGTGTATTCATTTGTTGCTGTCAAGTAAAAGATGAAGGTAATACTTAATGTACAAATACCAGTCGTTTTTGATGAGTCTATCGCTCATTATGAAGTTCATGCACATCAACCATATATCTCACAAAATTTTAATAATAGTGATGAAATTCGTATCGCAGTTAAATATCAAGATTTATATCATTTACCATCAAAAAGTTCTCTACAAATAGTTGGAAAACTAACAAGAAATGATAGTTCTGTAGTTACTGGTACGGAGTTCGCAAATCGAACTTCGAAATTAATACTTTAGAGAAGATAAATGTAAAAATGTTGGATTAACTATAAAAGGTTTAGTTTTACTCAATCAAACTTAAAGCAGATTTTTTGAAAAAACTGAATGGTTTGACGTTGCAAAAACTCGAAATATATTAGGTAGTAATGGTAACTTTGATATTTCATTACCACTTTCAATGATCTTAGAGTTTGCAGAAGATTATCAAAAGGTTATTGTGAGTGTATAACATAAATTTATTTTAACTCGATCAATAGATAATCAGAATGCAATCAGTAGATTGCAATCGTGTGTAGATTGGTGCTGATGATGATTGGTTGATGACTTATGTTTATCATGCCAGATAAGTGTAAAATACAGCTTTCCAAGTTTAATTAAAAAAAATGTTCCAATTCCTATGGGCTTGCGATCATGGAAACTTTATAAGTATCCAGCTCTTCCACAAACATCTTAATATATTTGGACTATCAAAACGTCCAATCAATTAGAAAAACCAAGATGTATCATACTCGATTTTCAAACTAAGCGCAAAGCTGACTAGAAGAGAAATACTAGCAATTTTGATCATTGTAGCAAAACTAATGTAAAACTCTTTCTCAACTCCTAACAATATTCATATGGCAATTTGAATCTTGACATCGACAAGAACCAATACTATCTCTTATACGATATGTGTATGTACAATTTCAACTAATTTATTACAAATGCACTATTGATAGTGATAAATTGTTAAAAACAGAACGAGTCACTGAAACAAGCTGCTTTCGATATACATTTAGAATTCTAGATTAAAAAGTATATTCATGATGATATAGCGGCATACTGTTTAATTTTACATGATTGTATAATTAAGTATAATTCTATAAGTGGACATGTAAAATTTGTATAAATATAATGATATTTATGATGATAACTTGTAATTAAATGTTTTTACTGAAAAAAATAAATACAAATGAAAATTAAAGTATTGCTTTTTTCACTTACCTCCACTACAATCACTATTCAATTCGTTTACCAGTTCCTTCCCATAATGTCAAAAGTGAGTGTTGACGTATTTGGACGTAAACTAGAAAATATTGAGAGTAAACGTGATTACCTGTATTACAAAATAGTCTGTTGAAAGAAATCCAAAATATACAAAAATCTATAACTAAATGGAATGTTAGATACAAGAAATATATTTATACATCGATCTTAACAGAGAAGAACTCGATATGAAGTTCATTAACGTTTACTCAGATATACGTAACCTCAAAGAGAAAGCGAACAATTGAAAGCTTGGGTATAGAACGAAAACGAGGCTCATCCTGATTTTTTCTCCGGCAGGAGCAATACCTCTATAATATAAGCAAAAAGTTTCTATTATAAACCACACTTATTAGAATACATTTTCATTCATCATCAACGGCCAAAACAACAAAATAACAGTACACAGTACACTCGTCTCCCAAAGACCAACGGGAGCTTGAAAAATAAAAAAGAAGACAAACAGTCTACATGGAAATCAGATACATAAAAATATTCATTCACTCCAAATCAATCCCAAAGTCAGAAGGTTTTAAACAATTTTAAAACATCATATGTTCAGAACATCTTATTGTATATATCTCTTATAAATGAATAAAAAACCTTTTTTTAACATATACCAAATTGTATTATTTCTTTTCCACCCATTATTCATCACAGGGGCATGAGGCATGGGGACGATCAGTAAAACAGCATGGGGACTTTCATTGAGTCGCGACATACACACCGATATCTGTATACCCGAAGTCGATAAAAAAATGTCGGTACACCAGGGTCATTTCTTTAACGACTCATAGTACGAAAGAAAGTAGTTGCTCCAATGATAAATGTGAATCAGGATCTGTATTTTCTGTATTTTCAGATATCAATATGCCCTAATATTATGTTAGCAACTCAACTATACCGGACAATATTGTTGAATTTATATATTAGAACGATGTAAATTGCGTAACAACGACTGATGTAGCTATCAATATCTGGCCGATAAGTTTTGAAGGTAGCTCGTTTACTACAAATATTTCCTGTCATTTAACTTATCCGCAGAACATCACGTCATGCTGTACTACCAGGTTTGAATAATATCAAAATATGATGAACAGATTTAATCATGATAACATTTATTTAAACTACAGCTATTTTTGATGTACTCAAAGTATGTGTATGACTCATCATTAGCTCACGCAGTCAGTTTAATATCATATTGCTGCTCTATGAAGGACTATATCATATCTATACGTGCATCCGTGGCACAAACTCACTCATACTATCTCTCATATATAATACAAGTGAACTTTTTCAACAATCATTTATGTTTAAATTCCTTCTGATGACATATAAAAATAAAATAATTGAAGCAAGCTGAAATACATGCTAGTAGATATCTAAACAAAAAAAAACAATAAAAAATATATAACAAAAGTAATACAAGCAGTTAAAGATATTATTTGGATGCTTCTGACTGTTACAGTAGACGTACGATGACCCTAAAATTTCATTCAGTTTCATAGCATTTAAAATAATCTTTTTCGTTAACTACAATTTTATTGTTACTTTATCTTATTTCATAATTCAAATTTTATCAATTGCTTACTTTGCAATGCCAATAAATTTATAATTTAATTATTTTCATTTTAACTTATTTATTTAAAGTGTTTGAAAAAATTTCGATCTCAAGTGAAAATGAATCCAAAAATTTTATATTGAAAAGCTAGCCTTATAGCCATAAACTATTCAAGAAATATCATCTATTATGTCTAATGACTATTATACCCCCAGAAAAGTATAATAAGCTTCATACATGAAAGATTTTCTTTAAGTCAGGAATAATTTAATGGTATACTTATTATTGTAGTGTTTCTTTTATTGAACTGTAAGATTCACACTGCCGGTCACCTACTTTTGGCCCCCTGCCGCAAAATTAGTCAAAACTTTAAAGTTCAATATCTCTGGTAAAAATTAAGGTACAGAGTCGCCCATGAGTATGTTTGAAAGGTATTTTTAAGAGCTTTCAAATAGTATGACTTATGAGTGCTATCGATTGTTTTTTAATTTTTTACAAGCAATAATTCAACATTGAAAATTCGAAAAAAATTTTGTTAACTTTGAAAATTTGCCAAATCTTGAAAAAAAATCTTACAAAAATTTGAGTCAGAGCATTTTTTAGCTTTTATCAAGCTCTATCTGAATCTTGCAAAAAAAAGAAAATTTTTCTAAAATAAAAAAAAAAAAGAATTCATTTTTCTGCAAAATTCATGATATTTACTATGGAATGATATTGAATGAGTGAACAAAAAATTGATGTAGTTTTTCATCTTTTTGGCGTACCACCTGTAAAAAAAAAAATTTTTTTAAATCAACAAAATTTTTTTTTCGATAAAATTGAAAAAATATATTACAGTATTCCACTTGCAAAGCAATTATTTTTTCTCCTATACATTTTTTTGAATTTTTAGAATTTATAGAAATAAAAAATCTTAAAAAAAACTGTCACTTCCCGGAAAAAATGCTCATGCGCGCGTCGGTTTTAACGAAAATAATTTTTTGACCAGTGATTCGGATAGAATTTGATAAAAGCTAAAAAATGCTCTAACTCAAATTTTTGTAAGATTTTTTTTCCGGATTTGGCAAATTTTCAGTTAGCAAATAATTTTTCGAATTTTCATTGTTGAATTATTGCTTGCAAAAAATTGAAAAACAATTTATGGCATCCATGTGTCATACCATTTGAAAGCGCTTGAAAATACCTCTCAAACATGCCCCTGGGTGACTCTGTACGTTAATTTTTACCAGAGACATTGAATTTGAAAGTTTTGACTAATTTTGCGACGGGGGCTCCAAAGTAGATGACCGGCAGTGTATTTAGAATATAAATTTTTTTGAGATCTAAACTTACGAATAATAAATTACTATACTTAAAAATGAATTAAATTTTTTATTTGATTGTAGGTGGTGGCGAGTTCGGTGATGTATGCAGAGGAAAGCTGAAGCTTCCTCCGGACGGCAGGTCTGAAATTGATGTTGCAATAAAGACTCTAAAGCCTGGCTCTGTAGACAAAGCACGCAATGATTTTCTAACTGAAGCGTCAATAATGGGCCAGTTTGAGCACCCTAATGTAATTTTTCTACAAGGTGTTGTAACTAAAAGCAATCCTGTAATGATAATCACTGAATTTATGGAAAATGGTAGTTTAGATACATTTTTACGGGCAAACGATGGCAAATTCCAGGTATTACAATTAGTAGGTATGTTGCGTGGTATTGCCAGCGGTATGCAATATCTTGCAGAAATGAACTATGTCCATCGAGATTTAGCTGCAAGAAACGTGCTCGTCAATGCCGCTCTCGTCTGCAAAATCGCCGACTTCGGACTTTCAAGAGAAATTGAAAGTGCAACAGAAGGTGCTTATACCACTCGTGGAGGCAAAATTCCTGTGAGATGGACCGCACCGGAAGCAATTGCTTTTCGCAAATTCACGAGCGCTTCGGATGTTTGGAGTATGGGTATCGTTTGCTGGGAAGTCATGTCTTATGGCGAGCGTCCATACTGGAACTGGTCCAATCAAGATGTTATTAAATCTATTGAAAAGGGTTACCGACTGCCTGCACCAATGGATTGCCCCGAGGCTATTTATCAACTTATGCTCGACTGTTGGCAAAAGGAACGCACTCATCGACCAACATTTGCTAACCTCACTCAAACTCTTGATAAACTCATTAGAAGTCCCGATACACTTAGGAAGATTGCACAAAACAGGTAAAGAAAGTGTGCGATCAAATATACATGCACTGATATTTATTACAATTAATATGTATAATTTGGTACATGTGCCAAATGATGCTTTGTCATTTTTATTACTGTTTTATCTTAACCATGTTTATTTTGATGTTAAACGATAGTTTTATATTTATTTTATGTGCGTCACGTTCATAAATTAATAAAACTCTCCATAATATTAAAACTCTACTTGTCACTATTAGTACAATTGAAGTAAACTTTGATTTTCAATATCTTTAATTTTTTTAAACATAGCTTCAAAATTTATCAATACGTAGTTTTGTCTCCATGTTGGAAAGGATGCGCTATCCTATTTGTCATGGAAACCATACAAAAGTGTATGATCAATTAGTTTTATTTTGCACCACGAAAAGTTCATGTGAGATCACAGTAGATGTGAATGAAATAGAATCTAATTGTTCGGTTGGAGGACAAATTTATTAAAACATCGATGTTTTAGATTGTTAAGTATTTAATCCCTTTTCGAAAGCACTATAATGAAAAACTACACAAGTTAACAAAAATGATACAATTTCCCTTTATTTTTAACTTTATTATAGGTGGTAGCTAAATTTCCATAGATGTTTACTTTTTCAATAGCATTATTGTAACAACAAATTAAAAAAGTATCAGAGGTTTTTCATGTCAGAAAATTTGAACTATCAATCATTCAGAGTAATAACAAATATAAACTTTTCCATATTCTGTGTATATTCGTACATGAATTTTAGTCTCTTGTGTTATAAATGTTTTTACAAATAAATCTTTGTTTGTTTGGAACATCCTACTAACATTTTTATAGAATATATATTCTTCTGTATGATTCCGCATATAAATTTAAATATTAGTAAATTAAACATTGCAAGATATTTCCGACCAAATCAGAGAGAACAAGCATAAATGGTAGTAAAAAATCATTCCTAGAAAAGAAGTAATAAGTTTAATTCCACGATCTATAAAATCATATATTATCGTCTGCAGCTACACTAGTTATTAGTTTTAGTTTTCCTAATATTCATTTTCATGCGAATTCGTTACTTGTTCTCAACGATAACATGTAGCTACCAACCTTAAATAACCAAGCATTTCGTGATGGTTTGCGAACCTTCGAGATCCTTTTGTGAATTTTTCCCACAGAATGTTCTATAAAAAACTGCCTTGTGTATTTTCACAGCTCATCACTTTGTAAAACTTTACGTTCTTTGTTACAGTTGATAATTTGAATTTTTTGCATGAAAAGCTTCTGATATTAGTTTTAATTCATTATGTTATGCTAGAAAAATAAACGTTTAGAAAAATTTTACTTACACTGACAATGAAGTTGATAGTAAGAAAACTGAGCAGAACGACGTGAGAAATAACGGGTTTTAACTCTGTATCCTATATAAAAAAGTGATAGCCTGTTTACCATAATCATTGCGTTGCAATTCATTTTTATAAAAATTACGAATTTTTTCATACACTAACTTACCTATACGAGGTGTGTTCAGAAAGTAAGGTGAATTTTTAAATTGGGCTGGTTACGTAGATTCGATCATCGATATTTTTTTCATTATGTTGGTATACATGTCCCTCACATATACTCACAGTTTCAGGTAGTTTCTATGTTTACTTTTTTCGCGAAACAGAAACGTTAGACGTAGTTTTTGTACTCGGCAATTTTCTGCTGTCGAAAACAATGGATCAAAGAGTTTGCATAAAATTTTGTGTAAAAAATAGAATTAAGTGCTCCAAAACATTTGAAATGTTGACAGTGGCATACGGTGAGTCTACTTTAAGTCAAAAAAATTGTTTACAAGTGGTATAAGCTCTTTCAAGATGGCCGAGAAGACACCGACGACGAACCTCGGTCTGGACGCCCCAGCACTTTAATAACTGATGAAAGTGTTAAAGAAGCGAAACAAATGGTGTTAAAAAATCATCGAATCACTATTAGAGAAGTGGTTGAAGACGTCGGCATCTCTGTTGGCTCGTGCCATGCAATTTTTTCCGAAGTTTTGGGAATGAAACATGTAGCAGCAAAATTTGTTCCGAAACTGCTTAATTTTGAACAAAAGGACTTTCGAAGGAGCATCGCTCAAGAGCTGTTAAACGACGTCAATGATGATCCTAATATGCTCAAAAGAGTTATAACTGGTGACGAATCATGGGTTTATGGTTATGACGTCGAAACTAAAGCCTAATCGTCCCAATGGAAGACTCCAGAAGAGTCAAGACTAAAAAAGTATGTCAAGTTCTATCAAATATCAAGGTTTTGCTCACTGTTTTCTTTGATTATAGTGGCGTAGTACATCAAGAGTTCTTACCACAAGGTCGTACGATCAATAAAGAGTATTACCTTGAAGTTATGCGCTGTTTGCGAGAAGCAATACGAAAAAAACGTCCGGAATTGTGGAAAAACAATTCATGGATTTTGCATCACGATAATGCACCTGCTTACTCATCGTTGCTTGTGTCGATCTTTTTGGCCAAAAACAAAACCACAATCATGCCTCAAGCACCATATCCACCGGATATAGTCCGGTGCAACTTTTTCCTGTTCCCAAAACATTAGAAACCCATGAAAGGACAGAGGTTTGGAACGATTGAGGAGATAAAGAAAAAATCGCTGGAAGAACTCAAGGCTATACCAGAAAGTGCTTCGAGGATTGAAAAAACGTTGGCACAAGTGTATTATATCTGAGGAGGGTTACTTTGAAGAGGACAACATAAATATTGATGAGTAAATAAATATTTTTTCATAAAAATAAAAATTCACCCTACTTTTTGAACACACCTCGTATAATGAATTTTTATTTACCTAATATTTTTAAAAGTAATTTACAGCTCTGAAAAGGGACTATTTATCGAGTCCGAAACTTTAAATAAATTAACTTTTCACGCGCTACAATTCGGTTTAATTTGCTTTTCTTTAATTTTTTAATACTACCTTCTATTTTTTAAAAATAATAAAATATACATATGCTAACGTTTGAAAAAAGAGCATATGATTGTTTACTCATCTGCGAAATAAACTGTGTAAAGAGTACAATTAACAATAGCTTAAACGTTGTTTTAATCAAACTATTTTCTGTTCAATTTTCTATTTCATCAATGGTCGGAGCAGAATTTCTACGTAAGGTTTGAGGGTTACTTTTTATTTAATAATGAAATAATATATAATTCGAAAAATTCCAAGTTTTCCTTATGTAATGATATCGAATTCAGAATGGTAAATATTAATTCAAAATATCTGAAATACGGTTTTGTTAGCGAATCTATATCTTTCTACAATTTAAAATTAATAATCCTCATTTAATATATACTTATTAATTTATTGAAGTAATTTCGTCTGCACAATAGTCTGCAAAATAATGAAAAAATATAGCTTTATATATCCCCATAAAAAACACTTTTGACAAAGTAAAAAGTTATATGAAGACTTCACTAACAGTATCAGCTCTTTTTTAATCGTTTTATGTTATGCTAGATGAATATAAGACAAAATTTAATAAATTTCCCTCTTTAAAATTCACTCTATCAATCTCATTTATTGTTTAAAATTATTTGCAAAGTTTTGTAGATAATGAAATCTATTTAAACATTGTACGGATGCTGAAAATTACTTTCAGAACGTTAAATTAAATTAATTTGTACAATAATAAAAAATTGAAAAATTTTATATATGATATTCTACACGTCAAATATTAGTTAGACACGCATATAATATTAATCTTCTTCATGAAGATATAAGTCAAAAGTCATTAATAAATTTTTGAAAGTAATGAAAAGATATATTATATTCTTGTCGGGCTTGTCATTTTTTATATTAATGTTATTTTTACTGCATTTTAGTAAAGTAGTTTGTTATGAACTTCAATAAATTAGTTGTACTTATTATATTTAGAACTCTAATTTACATTCAAAAATTTATAATACATTTTATATACAATCGCATCTTTTCCTAAATTAATTACTCAACGGATTAAGATGCGATGTAAAAGATAGGAGGGTGGTCCGATAGGTACTTAGCCTACAAAAGAAAAACGAAAATTTTGGAAAAGTGGCATTTTATTTTTCAACATAGTCTCCTTTTAGTTCGATATACTTGGCCCAGCGATGCTCCAACTTCTTTAACCCGTCTGAAAAATACGTTTCCTCGAGGTCTGAAAAGTAGGCTTCCGTGGCAGCGATTACCTCCTCATTCGACTCAAATTTCTGCCCGGCGAGTGACTTTTTAAAGTTTGGAAACAAAAAGAAGTCGCACGGGGCTAAAACTTGAGAATACGGTGGATGGGGCAGCAGTTCGTAGCCTAATTCGACCAATTTGGCCATGGCGACGACGGAGGTGTGAGCCGGTGCGTTGTCATGGTGGAAGAGCACTTTTTTCTTCGCCAAATGGGGCCGTTTTTTCTGCAATTCGACGTCGAATCGGCCCAATAATTCGGCATAGTACAGCCCTGTGACAGTTTTGCCCCTCTTCAGGTAGTCGATGTAGATCACACCTTGTGAATCCCAGAAAACGGTGGCCATCACCTTTCCGGCCGATGGGGCAGTCTTCGCCTTCTTCGGAGCACTTTCGCCGGGTAAAGTCCACTGTTTCGACTGTTCCTTGGTCTCTGGTGTATACCAGTGGATCCATGTTTCGTCGACTGTCACGAAACGACGCAGAAACTCCTTCGGATTGCGCTTAAACAGCGTCAGACATTGCTCTGAAGTTGTCTCACGGTTGCGCTTGTTGTCCGAAGTGAGCAAACGCGGCACCCATCGCGCCGACAGCTTTCTCATGACCAAAATTTCATGCAGGACATGACCCACGCGGTCTTTTGAGATGCCTACGATCTTAGCTATCTCGCGCAGCTTCAATCGTCGATCTGCCAATACGAGATCGTGAATTTTTGTTACGTTATCCTCCGTGGTAGCCGTTTTCGGAGCACCTGGACGTGGCTCTTCAAAAATTGACGTGCGACCACGTTGAAACTCGTTAAACCCATTTGTGA